CGCACTTATTTATGAACACCTTTAAAAAATTTAAAAAATAAACACTAACCTTATCGACCTCCCACCATGCAGGATAAAGTTTAGCTTGTCCATTGCCCAACAAAAATGATTCATCTCATTGATTCTTCAAGTGAACTGTGTGAAAAGCCATCGGCATTATTGTATATAGCGATTTTTTTTTATTTTTCCTAAGCTTCCTTATTATTAGTAGACGTGACACCCATGCATCGATATGCTGTTTTACAAAAAATACATATTAGTGAATTACATTAATTTTTAAACAAATTAATCAATCATATATAAGACAAATATAAGACTTACCTCCCCATCCAAATAGCCACTGTCTTCAACCCCTAATAGCACACCCCACCAAGACCGATCAAGCAACAAAAACATTTCATCGTTGAGTTTGCTGATGTCAGTGTAACACCCTTGGCTCGCTCATGTAGATAAAAATCAATTGCGGTCTTAGCCCAAAGGGTATTATCCACAATTGTTTCTGGTAGTTGTCTCCTCTCCACTTCAGATACCGGAAGGGTACTAGCCGGTATCTCATACGAGAGTCAACTCTCATCCATCAGGTCCGGAACCGGTAGGGGTTTCTCAATACTTCGATATATTACCCCATGTGAATCGGGCTCTGAAATGGTGGGAGGGACCTCTTCAACGATGACAGTGGCCTCTTGGACGGTGAGGGGTGAATCTTGAGGGAGAATATGGGCCTCTTGAACGATTGGAGGGGACTATTGAGGGATGACCGGTGAGTCGGGCTTCTTCTTGCGGAGTCTTCGCACCATTGGGGTGAATGGAGACGTAATAGCACGTCCACGCCGTCTGATGCGTGAACTCCGTCGTGCAAGGAAAACCCGACGTAAAGCATCCACCTTATCGGGCCGCTAAAAAAAATTAATACATAAATCAGTAAATAAACAGACATGATATTAAACAAAGACAAATATGTTTCAAACTAGCATTGTATCACCCAAGTCATTATTCTATCATAGTTCACAAATGCTCAGATAACTTCCAGAAGTAAGCACTTATATAAACATTTAAAAGGACAACATATATAAACATTCCAGAAGAAGAATAGTTTACTTTCGCAACACGAAACTTAAAATCGCAACGCGAAAATGACTATCGCAACGCGGAAATGGCTATCGCAATGCGAAATGAAAATCGCAACGACAAAATCGCAATGCGAAATGAAATCACAACGACAAATCGCAACGCGAAACACAAATCGCATTGCGATTGACAACATATAAACATTCCAGAAGAAGAGTTTACTTTCGCAACACGAAACTTAAAATCGCAACGCGAAATGACTATCGCAACGCGGAAATGGCTATCGCAATGCGAAATGAAAATCGCAACGACAAAATCGCAATGCGAAATGAAATCACAACGACAAAATCGCAACGCGAAACACAAATCGCATTGCGATTTTGTCGTTGCGATTTCATTTCGCATTGCGATTTTGTCGTTGCGATTTTCATTTCGCATTGCGATAGCCATTTCCGTGTTGCGATAGTCATTTTCGTGTTGCGAAAGTAAACTATTCTTCTTCTGCAAATTGAACTTGAATGGATTGCATTACTTCAACCAAAAGACAAAAACAAAACCAAAAATAAATACTAACAAAAACAGTTTAGCAGTATTGGCAGCACGAATGAATTACGAGTATGAAAATCTTAAACTTACCTCGTTGCGTAGAGTATGAACCTCATTCTGCAACGATGCTACCATCTCACGTAGAGCGGCTACCTCACGCGTAATGTAGACACCTCAACACGCCATGCACCATCGTCTTTGCGTAAAGTACCGACCTCCTCACGTAAGGCATTGACCTCATCACGTAACTCCTCTAACTCATCCCGTTGAGGTGGAGAACAGGGAGATAAACGTCGTGGCATCTTTGCCGGTCGCCTATCTTGCGGTGATGGTGGAGAAGAGGCTCGATGATGTGACAGAATAGGCTGTCGTTGTGGAGGTGTATAGCCGGGTCGATCAGATGATGGCTCTGGGTGATGTAGGTCTAGGGCGAGGTGATGGCTCCCGAAGTGGAGGCTGCTCATCAACCGTTCCATCAAAAAAACGCTTACTAGCTTGCCACCAATCAGTGGCAAGCTCAGCTTCCGTGGTGTCAACCTCTGTAGAGGAGTGTTGGCCTCCTAACATATAAAAGCTCAACAAAGTTAAACGTGTACTAGTAATAACTTGTTTATAAACATATGGTATATTTATGTTAACTTACATTATTTATTGTCGTATACCGTAGTAAATCTTCCCATTGCAAGGTCCGTTTCCTCTTCCAGGAAATAGCCTTGGGAATATCATTTGAAGTTTTTATTGCATATGTCTTCATGGCGGGAAAGGCCTCAAATATCCAATCTACAACAATATAATAACAAACATTAGTAATTGTTAAATAATTACTTATAATTTTGGAAACATCATATAAAAATTCTTACCTTAAAGGCCCAAATAAAGCCTGTCAAAGTGTATTTGGAACTATCGCATGCAAACTTTTTTCGATCATCCAAGGCAGACGATAACTTATTCCATGTAGCTTTCCATAAATACGAGCCCCACGAAACAGGTTCCACGCATTTAGGTCTTCTACCAATTTGATTAGATCATTGGAATAGGTTGTCTGGCCTCTCTGCCTAAAAAGCTGGCATGCAAAAGAATAGAAGGCATACTCGGACAACGTCGACGTCATCCATCCGAGTAAAACCGTTTATTATTCAACAATCTTGTCAAGTCTTCTACGTGTAGACTCGGCCTCTCCAGCTCAGGAAAACCCGGATAGCCAGAGGGGCGGGTAATGTGTCTAGTGTACCGACCTACATCATCGTGTCCGAAGCGTAGACCGGTGATTAAGCAAAACTACTCCTGCCCAAAACACGTATACGCCGGTGGAAAATCATACCATATCCTTTCACGACGTTTTATAGTCTCTGGTAGATCGCTAGTCATGGTTTGAAGAAACGTGTGTCAACATCGCATCTCCACCGGGATGTTGTACTTTCAGCCATGGCCCGAAGCATGTATCCTCAAACATTTTTCTTTGTGCAGGTGAAAGCTTCGACGCAATTGTTTTGGCCAGGCTGACTTTATTTCTCAAGGTCAATTGAGCCGAATAAAAGTTCTACAAAAACAATAAACATACTAAATTAGATATACCAAAAACTACACTGTGAAGATATACCAAAAACAATAATAAACATAAAGAGTATAGTTTATTCTTCAAACTTAAATTTGCAACACTGTGAATTTCGTATTTGTCTTTGTTTTTTTGTTGAAGTAATGCAATTCATTCAAGTTTCAATTTGCATAAGAATAGTTTCTGAAAATGAAAATCGCAACACGAAAATGACTATCGCACGCGAATTTGACTATCGCAACGAGAGAATCGCAACGCGAAACTAAATCGCGTTGCGATTTGCATTTCGTGTTGCGATTCTCGGTTGATTTAATAAGCAATCTAAGTGAAATGGTTAATCTTATTGAAATTACTAGTAAACTTATCATCAATTTCAATATGAAAAACCTAATAATAATGCAAAAATTTCAAAAGAAAATAATTAAAAAACTAACCCTCGTTGGTTGATTTGGTTGATTTTCCATTTCTGATTGTGAGGGTGCTCTGAGAGATGGAGATAGACGGATTTCGCCGGAGATGGGGACGATTTCGTCGAGATGGGTGAGAGAGTGAGATGGAGATGGGACTGAGTTGTGATTTAGGTTTTAGGTTATGAGTTACGATTACGGATATACTGTGGACGGTTCAGTGTTCCAATATATTAATATTCGTGTTTGGAATTTAAAAATAAAATACTTGGCCAGGATACTAATGGCGCTTTGAAAATCGCATTGCGATTATGTATTATCGCGTTGTGAAAGTCAGAATCGCGTTGCGAAAGTCAGTATCGCGTTGCGAAAGTAAGTATCTCGTTGCAATTTTGTATTATCACATTGCGATAGTCAGTATCGCATTGCGATTTTCCCAATTCGCGTTGCGATTTACTTATTCGCATTGCGATTTTCCCAATTCGCGTTGCGATTTACTTATTCGCATTGCGAATTGGGAAAATCGCAACGACACTGTAGACCATCGCAACGCGATTTTCAACTATCGCATTGCGAAAATGCAACGCGAATTTGCGATAATGGAGATCGCGTTGCGAATTAGCGATCGCATTGCGATTTTGTTGGTCATTTTGGCAAATCCGGAAAAAGTTGGTTAAAATCGTATATTATATGAGATTTTTGGTCACTGAGGTTATTTTCTCATTAAAAATCCAATATGGTCTAAATTTTAACGACAATAATACGGCTAAAAAAAAGCCCAATTCAAATATTAATATATAAATATTATTTGTGTAAATTACATATTTAGTATCTAAATTATCAGATTTATTTCATTTTAGTACCTAAACTTTTATTTTTACAAAATTATACCTAATATTTACTTTTTATTTCATTTTAATACCTCAAAATTTAACGGAATTGTTGCACATAGTATTTTTATGGGTAAATTATATCATTCATCACTTAAAATTAATAATTCCAATTTATTTTATTAATAATTTTTTTGACATGAAATTTTTGTTATTATTTTATTAATATATTATTTAAAAATAAATTAAAAAGTGAGTGATTAAATTATTAGTAATTTAATAGTTAAGTAATTAAATTAAAAAAATAAACTTTAGTAACCAAAATATAAATGATAAGATAGTTGAGTGATAAATGATGTAATTTACCCATGAAAAAGTGTCTGCAACAATTCCGTTCAGTTTTTAACGACGAAGTACTAAAATGAAATAAAAAAGTAAATGTAACTATGATTTAGAAACAAATGAATGTTTAGGTGCTAAAACGAAATAAAATCGATAATTTAGGTAAACAACGAAATAAAATCAATAGTTTAGGTACTAAACGTATAGTTTACCCAAAAATAAAAAGCCAAAAAGGGGTTTACTTGTGGAATTGGGTCTAAAATAGACCCATTATGAATCCTCCCCAAATTCCGAATTTCAGACTTTCATCGCGAGAACACCTTTGCTTCTCCATTAAAGACTGCAACATTTCTTAATCACAATATCGCCTTCTATCTTTGTCATTCATTCATCTCAAACTCCCAATCTTATATCATACTCTCCTTTGCATTCAACCCCCGCCTCCAGGAGCCACCCATACTCCCACTCCCCTAATTTGCCACCGTCTTCGATAGGCCAACGCTTGCATTCCCAGCTGCAATTTTAGGGTATGTTGATTTTTATTATTTTTTAAAGATTTTCTGTTGAATTTACGTACAATTATTAGTGATATTGATTTTGGTAGGTAAATGGAATGAACTCCTTTTTCTAGTTTCAGGCACATCTGTAAAGACTTTTTTGGAACTTGGTTGTATATAGCATAGACTTAGTATGCTGCCTGGCTTGTGTGTCTTGTCTGAGATATTGTTTTCTTTTATTATTGCTGCCTTTCTTCTTTAGTATTTTTTTTTTTTGATCCTGTATTAACTTGACATGTATTACATCTATATTTTAGGCAGTATCCTTTTGAAATCATGCAATCAAAGGATTCTATTGTATCTTGACAATGCTTTATGGTAACCTCGGTTCGAGCGGAAAAGCATAGTGTATGCAGTGTGAATCTTAGTAATCTCCTTAAGATAATGGATTCTAGCATTGGCACCACTGATGCAATTTCAGCTCCACACCCGGATATGGAATTTGAATCACATGAAGCCGCTTATTCATATTACAAAGAGTATGCCAAGTCTGTGGGCTTTGGCACTGCTAAATTGAGCAGTCGCCGGTCCAGGGTGTCCAAGGAATTTATTGATGCTAAATTTACATGCATAGGATATGGAAACAAGCAACAGTCTAACGATGCCATTAACCCTCGGCCTTCCCCAAAAATTGGTTGTAAAGCTAGCATGCATGTGAAGAGAAGGCAGGATGGAAAATGGTATGTTTATAGTTTCATTAAAGAGCATAATCACGAACTTTTGCCGGATCAAGCACATTTTTTTCGGAGCCACCGAAATGTTGATCCACTTAAGGCTGATGTTGGAAGGAGAAGGAAGAATCTGGCTGCAGTTTCTAAACTATTTGGTGCCTATCAAAATATTGACTTTTTGGAAGGTTATATGAAAAACCAGCATGATAAGGGGCGGAGTTTGAATTTAGAAGAGGGAGATGCTCAAGTACTTCTCGAACTTTTAATGCAGATGCAAGAAGAAAACCCAAAAATTTTCTATGCGGTTGATTTGAATGAAGAGCATCGGTTGAGAAATGTATTTTGGGTTGATGCCAAAGGCATGGAAGATTTCAGTAACTTTGGCGATGTTGTTTCTTTTGACACTACATATTTCACAAACAAGTATAAAATACCTTTGGTACTCTTTAGTGGAATCAACCATCATATTCAACCCACATTACTTGGTTGCGCTTTGATTGCAGATGAAACAGTTTATACTTTTCTTTGGCTAATGCAAACATGGTTTATAGCAATGGGGGAAAGGGCTCCTGGAGTGATGCTCACTGATCAAAACAATGCCATAAAAGCTGCTGTGGCTGCTGTGTTTCCTAGTACACGCCATTGTTTCTGTTTATGGCATGTGTTGGAAAAACTTACCAGGCATCTTGAATATCCGAGCCTGTGGCATAATAGTCTAATGCTAAAACTTGGTAAATGTATTTATCAGTCTTGGACTGAGGAGCAATTTGAAAAAAGGTGGTGGAAGATGGTTGACAAGTTTCACCTAAGAGAAATGCAGTGGGTTCAGTCTTTGTATGAAGATCGGAAACAGTGGGTTCCCGTCTTTATGAGGGGTGTATCTTTTGCTGGATTATCTACTTCTTTACGCTCAGATAGTTTGAGTTCTTCATTTGACAAATATATGCATGTAGAAACATCATTGAGGGAATTTATGGAGCAGTATAGATTAATTCTTGAGGACAGGTATGAAGAGGAAGCCAAAGCTGATTTTAATGCATGGCATGAAACTCCAGAGCTGAAGTCTCCATCTCCTTTTGAAAAACAAATATCGCTTGTATACACACATGAAGTTTTCAAGAAATTCCAAGTTGAGGTTTTGGGAGCTGCTGCTTGTCATCTTAAAAAGGAAAACGAAGATCAGGTGCCCGCAACATATAGTGTTAAGGACTTTGAAGATAATCAAAATTATATGGTTGAATGGAATGAATCTAAATCAGATATATACTGCTCATGCTGCTCTTTTGAGTACAAGGGCTACCTTTGTAGACATGCTATTGTTGTGCTCCAGATGTCTGGTGTGTTCAACATCCCATCAAAATATATTTTGCAACGGTGGACTAATGCTGCCTTGAGCAGGCGTCCAATCAGTCAGAAATTGGATGAGGTCCAATCTAAGGTCCGACGGTATAATGATTTGTGTAAACGTGCCATAATATTAAGTGAAGAAGGCTCACTTTCTCAAGAGAGCTATAATCTTGCTCTATCTGCCATAAAAGAAGCTCTGAAGCAATGTGCAAGTGTCAATAATTCGGCTGGGAATGATGACAGATCTAATACCTCAGTGATTCATACCGAGTCTGGTGTTGAAAGAGTCAACCCATGTGTAAATACTTCTCTAGAAAAAACTCCAGACCCTAGAATTACAAATAGAAAAGGAAAGGTAAGTCAGCAGTCTGCTTACGTGTATGATTTCCTATTAGAACATTTTGATTTATAAAGGGAAAGGAAAAGAAAAAGTAAATCACCAGAAATTGCTTCTCTAAACAGCAGGTATCTCCTGCAGGAGCTGCCAATGTTGGGTCACAAAATGGCTTTCACCAAATGGTTTGTTGTACTTTCACCTGTTCCTCGTTCTATATTGATGATGTTGTCATATTTTCATGAATTCTGGAAATGATTTGTAATGCACTTAGTAGTTAGTTCTCATGATTTTGTTGTTGCCTTAGAAGTGTGTAATATCTGAACCATAGCATATGCAACAAATTTTGTTTAATTATGTGTATAATATGCTAATATTAGGTTGTACCTTTCAAATTCATTATCAGCATCATCTATGCTTTACTCAATATAGAATTTCTCCAAATGCGTGTCCTTAGATCTGTGTTCTTTTTAGCTGCATGTAGTTGTGTAACCTTCAATCTTTGTAATGCTTGTTGCAGGGGCTGTCAGACATGAGGCCTACGCCAATGCATAATGTGATGCCACCAACGCAATTGCATAATATGGTGCCGACTATGTTTACAAATGTTGCATCAACACATTTTCAAAACGTCACCGCTGCACATTTGCATGACAGCCGACTCCGTCGGTGACTGTTTTTTACCTTGATTTTGTAAAGATAATGTAAAGCTACTTTAGGGTTGTAGGAAGAGCAGTTTATGATGTTGCAATTGTCTTGACTTGCATCACAAGGTTTTGGTGCAGCTGACAAGATTGTTATGTTTCCCTCTGCCGACACTGTGCTATGCCAATTGCATGCGAATTTGTCACGAGTGTTGGATACGATTGTGTATTTTATATAATATATTAAACTTTTTTCTCTTAATTTTTTCAATCATACCTTCAAAATGGATCAAGGACAAAGTTTAGGGAGTGGTTTTAGTTACCGGAGATAATATACTGGCAACTTTAACTACCAAAGAAATAATCTTTGGCAGCCTAATTAATCAAGGGTACGGCAGTGTAATGGGCGGAGGTTTGCAATCCTTCTATGCTGCGCTAGTTGAATGTTAAAAATATTTTTTTTTTAAATGTCACGTGACTTGAGTAAAATGCATGTTGATGGAAGATATTATTTTAACATCAAACTCATTTCTTGAAGATATGCATTGGGAATCTACACAATTGTTTGTTGCATGATATCCACATAACTTGTTTTTTCACATGATCTCTTCCATGATTTGGATGGCCCGCACTCTTTTCCCTGGGCATAGGGACGGTCCAGATGAATGAAAGTGTCATGGCCCACGGTGAAGAGCTTGAGAAATTGAATGGTGAACTGAAAAATCTGACGAAAAGGTTATGGATTGCAAACAAAGGAATTGGGGAAAATATTGGGTCCACAGAGAGGATGGATGCACGTGGGGGAAAAGAATAACAGGGCCTGAAATATGATATAGTGAAGCAGGCCTCAATGGGGAAACAAGTGACAGGCTGTTATATCAGCAATGACCCAAAAGATAGTCTAGCAGGCAACCACAATGGAGCACTCTGAAGAATTCTGTTAGCGGTATACCTAGAGCTGTCATTAAATAAAGAGAAAATAACCTCAGTGACAAAAAATACAAGTCAAGACCACTGAGGTTATTTTTGCGAAATGCAACGCGAATTTGCGATAGTGGAGATCGCAATGCGAATTAGAGATCGCATTACGATTTTGTTGGTCATTTTCGTAAATCCAAAAAAAGTTGGTCAAAATCGTATATTATCTAGGATTTTTGGTCACTGAGGTTATTTTCTCTTAAATAAAACATCTGTAGTACACAAATTTATTAAGATATATATGATACGTAACTGCTAAATGCATTCATCGTGAATGAATTATTAATAATATGTATTTTATGGATGTAAATGTAATTATTAGTATTCAAGACCACTAAGAGGAATAAAAATACTTTTTTGCCATTGATATAGTACACCCTTCTACGTTCCAAGAAATGGGAGAGTTTTCGACTTAACCAGTTTCCGTATGTTGATATCATGCAGAAGGCCCAATTTATTTCTTAGCTTGATGTGTCCAATAAACTACTATTTGGATCTCTTGCTTCAGCCCAAAGAATCTGCTTCCTGTGAAGCTTAATCCAAAAGGCTGACCTTCATGCTTCTGCATCATCATTCCACACTTTCACAACAACAACAACAAAACCCTATTCCCATATGCAATGGGGTAAGGGGAGGTGGGGTGGTAGGCTGCCCCCAACGCCAGGTTGAGAGCAACTTCCGTGGAAGACCTCCGGCAGTAAGAAAATTAAAAATAAAGATAAAATATAATGCATAGATAAATAAGTCAATAAATACATAGTTGAAATAGTTGAATAATTTTCATACGCTGTCTTCATATGCGCGTCTGTAATTTGAAATAATCCCTGCAAATAAATCCATGCGTGAAAATCTCTGCTTATAGACAGAAACGTAAGTCCCGGCTAAATTTAAAAGAGGAAACATAAAGAGAAGGATAAACAGAAGTCAGCGATAGCAAGCTGCGATAAGGAATAAAGTTAAAATAGTTAAAACCTAAACTAAGGTAACACTACTCCGCCACCCTAATTCTAAGCCTACATAAATTCCAATGACAGAAACATATAAAAAGGAAAATTCATGGAAATTACTACAAAGGCATTAAAAAAGAAGACTGAGATGCCCACACTACTTAGCTACCCTGGTCTTAAGTCACCATACTTTCCTATCGGAGGTCATGTCCTCGGTAAGGGCTAAATTTATCGACTTTACCCTCCTTCATATATCTTATTTTTTTTACACATATCAAAACAAATATATCAATCATATTTTAAGATTGTTTTATCATTTTTCTCGTTTTATATGACTTGACATGTACTTAAATTTATCTCTTAAAACTATGTGCTTGGTTAACAAGACAAAATTAATGAGACGGGTGAAGTATTATTTAGCTACGTAACGTAAAATTAAGGCTAGGTAAGGGAAGAGTCCATGGATGGGCAGAGGAAACTGACAATTTAGTCGTTCTTCTAAAATTTTAACTTTTTATATAATTTTAAGTATTATTTATAATTATATTTTTGTTTCATTGAATGTTTCTTATTAATTTTTTTTTAATTTTAACTTATTATTATTTAAAATTTATTTATTAATAAAAATATAAAAATATATTTTAAAAACCACAAATCAAATAGTTTTTAAAATATATGTTTTATAAAATTTAATTATTTAAAATATTTAAAATAATCATGGTCAAAGTTAAAAATACATTATTATTAAAAAATCAATAATGGGACGGAAGGTACTAATAGTATATTTCCATCCCTTTAAAATATTAAAAAAATTAAAGTAAACTACACACATTTAATATTTAAAATATTACTTTTATTTTATTTTTATACTTAAACTTTAATTTTTTAAAAAGTCATATCTGACATTTAGTTTATGTTTTATTTTGGTATTCCATCTATAAAAATTTAATGGCGATATTAACGTGTCACTATAAGATATTGTCACGTCATCATTGAAAACATATATCATATCGATAGCTCCATTAATTTTTTTAGCGGCAGGATACCAATTTGAAACCTAAATTAAATGTTAAGAATAATTTTAAAAAATAAAATTTGAGTACCAAAAAGAACAAAAATAATAATTTGAGTACTAAACATGTAATTTACCTTAAAAGTTATGTACGTATTATTTTAATAATTGTACTATTTAATAAATACAGTACGTAACGTCATTTTATCCACTTTTTCTGTTCAAATATACCGTAAATGCACATGAGATGGGGGCTTTTGCAAACTTATATCGTATTGGCATTACATCCCATTATTGGGATGTTCAAGGTGCGACGGTGCGACAATCTTAATATACAGTTAAAGAAATATGTTACCGGAAATATTAATATTTTTTTTATAATTTCTAATAAAACATCATCTAAAATATTATTTTTTTCTATCGAAAACGTTAATATCGGGGCTACATAAAATGTTCACCATACAAATTAAGAGAGAGAAAATGTATTTTTTAAATTATTTTTGATTACTTTATTGGTTAATTATTATAATAATGGTTGTGCAGTTTAATGTGATGAAAGAATTAACATAATATATGATTTTCTAAAGGAATGTAAAGCTTGCATATATTGTGTAATGAGGATATGATGAGAAGTAAATATATATAATATAGAATGAACTACATGATGTTGAAGTTAGGCTTTCCGTATATCTTCTTCTTCCTGATCAACAGACTTAAATCATTGAACTTTATTTTCAACTCTGCAACCTCTCAGGCAAACACTTGCTCAAATGGCCACTAGGAGCAGAGCATCCAAGCCAGGGAGGCAACTTGGAGAACTCCACCAAAATCATCGGCCAGGATATCTGCCACTGTGTTGAATCAACGGTTGTTGATGCCCAATCTAAGTCGATGCAACTCACAAGTCACAACACGTAATGTCAGTCTTCAGAAGTTTATAGAGGTAGAGGAGAAGATAAGGTATGATCCTCACCCAGATAATCCAACAGGATGGACCGTTTGCCGACAGGAAACTAGTATTCGTATTAAGCCATTATCGGCTCTGGCATCCATGGCTGAAAAAGTGGAGCAACGATGCGCCGCGAGGTTTATGCAAATAGCGTGAAGGGTAGAGAAGTAATGGAGAGGATCTGCAAGTATCTTGAAGCTGAATCTAGAGGGATGGCTCTATAATTTTCTCACTTGCTGCACTTTTGAAATCTCAGCTGCCTGCTTCTCTCATAGGGTAGGAAATAACAGAAGAATGTAAGATGCAAAAACCTGGAAGGTCTAGGTTTAATTTTGAATGCCCCTTTTAGACTTGGTGCAATTTTTGGTGTATTCCATATCTAATATTGGAGTAAGATTCAATTTACTCTGCCAGATGGTATTAATTTGACGGTAAACGCTGGTTGATGATGAAACTAAGCAGTAAATAGTGTAAAAGAGGGGGTTCTAGCTTTGTCATAAATAGCTAATGTTTCTCTGACTTCCATTTTCTCCTCCCCCCTCCCTTTTTTTCCACGTCTCTTCGACTGTGATGATTTTTGTTTTGTTAATTTTAATATTTGATGTCAGGATTTTCGTCCTCGACATTCTTTCAAAGCACAAATCAAAGTTACTTTGCATTTGCACCCCATTTTCACACTATACAATCACTGCAGTTATACGCCAATTAGAGGCTTCGTTTTACCGCTTTCAAAAGTACTCGAGACATGCCCCTTCACAAGAGCTTTCATTTACTTGTGTCGCCGCTTTGACTATTTGATAAATGTGATCGGGGCATAGCCATGTATTATCACTTTAATACTACTAATATTCTTACCAGAGTATTTAATAGATAGCCAATACAGGACAACTTGTTTTGAAGAGGTCTAATTCTTCTAAAATTTTAATTCAATTTTCTATTTTCAAAACACATAATTATTAAATAAGATTGTCATGGATTTAAGTAAAATTTTCTTTATGTTGATAAACCAAAAATGTAGTTACTTTGGTTTTCCCTCCAAAATAACCTGAAAAAACTTACGAAACTCGTTCAAATGACGAGCTAACCGTAAGAGATAAAGAAGAAAAATTAACAAGGACCCAACCTATAATCAAAAGTTGAGGTGAATGGGGTGGAGGCTGACATAGAATGGATGAATGAGGAACTAAAAAAAAGATGATTCGATTTGGAATTGAGCTAGACACACTTGTAAATGATGCATCAATAAAATCAATTTGGACACGCAACATCCATGTTCTTTCTCCATAATATATAGACAACTA